CAGCTTCCAGAACCTACTCCTTGTGGACACCCAGTCAGCAAACCACAGCCCAGCGCCCTTAGAGGGACTCTGAGGGGTGTGTCAGTGTGGGAGGCCCCTCCACCCACCCTGCATGCGGGACACTGAACGTAAATGGGGGCGGGGACGGCTCCCCCAGCCCAGCCAGGACGGCGCTCCAGGCCGCCCAGTTCACATGGCTTCTCTCTTCCAGGGGAAACCCTGGTGTGTCTATTCCTGCGCTTCCTTTGTTTCCTTCTTGGCCCTTTTAGTCTGAGGAGTGATGGCCACAGGCTGGGGTGCAATAAGCACTTGGAAGATTTGCTTCCCTTGTCCCTTCCTGAGCTCACACCAGTGGCTTCCTTAGGAGCTGACAGTCGATGGCGTTCAGTGTCTCAGTCACCGGAGGAAGATGCTCTCCCAGGAGAGGAAAGTGGGGACTCTGCACCAGGGAACCTTGGTGGAAAGGTTTCGAAAACCTCATTGAGTCTCAGCCTGCCTGTCACTGCAGGGGCGGCTGAGACGGGTGGGGGGGACGCTGTCGCGGGCAGTGGAGGCTCTGGGTGACGTGGGTGACACTCGGTCCCTGGTGGCTGCTGGTGGGCAGGACCCTCCGGGGTCGGAGTCTGTGGCTGCAGGGCCTGTGCTCTGGCCGCTCAGCTGGGTGACATCCGGGAGTCTGGCTGAGCTTCAATGACCTGGTGTTGGCAGCAGGAGGCCCTGTCCTGCACCTCCCAGGGCCTCTGGGGAAGAGGAACTGAGCAGCTCATGATTCCAAAATCTGACGCTGAGTTTCCAGTTCATGACTGGTTTTCACGTCTGTTTCTGGTCCACGTTGCAAGTGTAGTTTTCTGTGTAGCCAACACTGATATGTTACGATCTACTAAACTCTGCACTTTGTTCAGATCTCACTAGTTTTCCCTAATGGCCTTGTTTCTGTCCTAAAATTCCATGTCGGATCCTAAATTATATGCACTCTGTTTTTCAAGCTTTTTTTTTTTTTTAATATGACTCAAAATTAGAAATACATTTTCCACCACAGGACAATATGCATGTTTAAATAACTGGCGACACAAAATATTAAGAACATGATACTTACTTTTACCAACCGGGACACACTCTGGTGTTTTCTATTCTATTCTTTCCCATCCCATCCCACCCCGCCCTATCCTGTCCCAACATAACAATGCCCTTTGGGTGTGATCAGCTGAATAACATAACTAGGTCAGGATCTGCAGGATCAAACCTCATTTTCCACCAGGATCCTCTCTCCCGTTGCTCTTCCACGGTGGCTGATCATTCTGTTTCTCTCCTGGGCCCACGGTGAGCCCCTTGCCCCGCGCGATGGTATCTTCATTCTTCCTTGGCCCCCACACTGGGCACGAGGCCTGATTCACGTGCTCTGCCAATGCCGACTGCCTGAGGCTCCACGCACGGGTCCCCTTTTCTCTGTTCTCACACGTGACCTGCTTTGCAGGCTTGAATGCTTAGGAAGCAGCGTCCCCTTCGTTTGGAGCCGTGGCTGGCCTGTGATGGAATATTTGCAGGCATCAGAGCTCGACCCGCCTGTCACAAGCCTCACCCACGCAATGGGCCATGGGGCCTGTGCTGGGTCCCCCACTGAGGTTCGAGGCATGTTAAGTGAGTTTTGCATGCAAACCTCGTGATTGGAAATGCGTGCGTGTTTTCAATCGTCCCCAGGATTCGGGTAAAGATAAATGTCCCTCCGTGCCTGGAGCAGTCCCTTACAATGAATCGCCTGTACAAAATGCCAGCCGCACCCCCTGTTGAGACACTCTGACCAGGACCAACCTGAGATGAGACATCACCAAAAGGATGACGGCGTGTCTGCTTCATCCTGTGTAAGCTTCCCTTTTCTCCAGAGATCAGTCAGGGAGGTGTCTACCCTGGGCAGCTGGCCGTGGGACAGCTGGGAGACATGTTTTATTTATTTTATTTTTAAAATATATTTTATTGACTTTTTAAAGAGAGGAAGAGAGAGGGATTGAGAGTTAGAAACATCGATAAGAGAGAATCATCGATCAGCTGCCTCTTGCACACCCTCTACTGGGGATGTGCCTGCAACCAAGGTACATGCCCTTGTCTGGAATTGAACTTGGGACCTTTCAGTCTGCAGGCCGACACTATCTATTGAGCCACACCAGTTTTGGCATGGTAGACACGTTTTAGAAAACCACCTGGCCCTGGACAGTCAGGTTAGGCTGCAGGCGTCTAACAGATCTGCCCGGACAGCTCCGAGGTCCCCAGGTTGTGGGTGGAAGGTATGTGCCGGGGGCTGCGATTACGGTGGGGAGAGTGAGCCCTGCTCCTTTTGAGTAAATCTGCTGCGGTCACACCCCAGCGTGTCTTTCTAATCACTGCCCGACCACAGAGCGTGCATCCCTCCCTCCCCTCTGCCTCCGAGGTGGAGAGAGCCTCTCCCCCTCCCCCTTCCCCCACCTCAGGAAGAGCCCCAGCCTTCTATAGCTATGACTCACTCTGTCTGTCAGAGGCAGAGACAGGCTCATTAAAATATATCCACCGGGCCCCTAAGCAGATTAAGGAGCTGCAGAGAGGGTTGAATCAAGTGGAATGGCTGATCATCATTACCCTAGGACACACATTCTTTCTCTCGCTAAGGAATTAAGGCTCCGTGCTTTAATCTTTAACCACAGGTAAATAAAACTAATCTCTCTGTGGAAACAGAACCCTGAGGGAAATACATGTTTTACAGCTTCGGCATCTGGGGCCATAATAACACATTTCATTTTGTTTGTATAATATGCTATACTTTGTAAAAAGTATTTTCTCATGCACAAGTTTATTGAATGCATGGAAGGTGTTTGCATGTCGTGCATATCTATAATTCCTTTCCCAATTAAATTAGAGAAAGAAAGAAAGAAAAAAAAAAAGAATGCCTGCAAACCCTCAGGTGTACACTTTCTGATAAGCACAGGAGCTCACGTTCTCATTCTTTCCTCCTCTCATATTCTATCCTTTTCTTTCTCCGTAGTGTGTGTTTAATACTATACACCAGGTCTCCCCCTACCCCTTTCACTCATAAATATGTGACTTCTAGAGGCCCGGTGCACGGGATTCCTGCATTGGTGGGGGGCATGGCCTGTGGGGATCCGATGCTTTGGGAGTGCTGCTCGTTCTGGTCTGCTGTCTGCTGAGTGACTATGGACCCGCCCTCTGAGCGGCTGCTCCCTGGTCTGGCATCTTCTGTGAAGCTGCAGCACTCGCCTCTCCAGGGGACCTGGTTGGGGCTGGGCCCAGGGACAATAGCACTGAGAGGCACAAACCCGCCTCCCAGCCTCTGGGGTCAGTTCTGTGAGCCCCGGTGGCGCTGCACAGCCTGCAGGCATCTAGAGGAGTGAGGAGGGAGCAAGGAGGAGGAGGAGGGACCTGGGGTGAGGAGGTGATGATGTCAGCCCAGGTTCCTGCCCATTGGCCTGGGGTTCATAGCAGGAGCAGCTGCTCATCCTGGTCAGCTGAGTGGCACTCCGACTGTGGTAGCGCACTGACCACCAGGGGGCAGCTCCTGCATTGAGCGTCTGTCCCCTGGTGGTCAGTGTGCATCATAGCTACTGGTCAACCAGTCGTTCTGGTCAACCTGCCATCCAGTCACTGGGCTTTTATTATATAGGATAGGTGGCTATTGCTTTTATCTGTTCAGCAGCCCTTTCTCCTCTTCTGGTATCACTGCCCTGATTTTATTTTGGGCAAATGGCCCCTCCCCTCTTCAATCACGTGGGGCACTTGACTCTGTTAGCCTCCAGCTCTAGATTTGGACTTGGTGATCAGTGTATTCTTCCTCTTTACCTCCAACCCCACCTCCTTAGGTCAAAGAGATTCCTGGGCTGCCAATGAAACTCAACGCCAGACTTGCTTTGATTCACTGGAAAGAACACCTCTCTTTTCACAGGACTTGTTTCTGTGAGGATGTGAGCAGGCCCGCAGAGCAGAGAGGTTCTGGTTGTGTGTGTGTGTGTGTGAGGTCAATGTGGAAGAAAACAACCAAGAATGGGAGAGAAACAGAGCCTTGTAGACATGACTGGAGCTCCTGGATTCAGCCATGCCTGAAGCCAGCACCTCGAGCAGGTTTCCTGAGAATTAGATAATTGTAGGGTCTGTTCTGTGCACTGTAGGATGTATAACAACATCCCTGGCCTCTACCCACTGGATACCAGTAGCATGCTGCCTCCCAACCTCCTGACAACCAAAAATGACTGTCGACATTGACAGGTGTCCTGAGGCGGTGGGGAGGCAAAGTTACTGCCATTGAGAATTACTACCTTAGGCTGCCCTGAAGTTATGTGCATCAATAATTGTCTTCTATCTTTTCCTTATTCCTGTGTGAGTTGGGTTTCTGTTCTTCTCTCCAAGAGGCTTCGTGCCCAAAAGAGAGCTGTACCTTAAAGATTCAGGGTGACACCTCATGAAAAAGGCTGGATGGCTGCAAGAAACGATGGGACACCCTGATGCCGAGAAGCCAGTTCTAGACTGCAGCTGAGTGGTTCTATGGTCTGCAGCTCTATTGCGAGGGAGTGAGACCAAGCGCCTCCTGCCTCGCCTGGCTAGTGACGAGAAATGGTCTCTGGCAACCTCCAGGGACAGAGGGTTGTGGGTGGGCCATGGCCCGGGACCGCTCCTGACAACCGCCCTTCCTCTAATCGTCTCCTGCACCCGAGGGCTGTGCCAGAGCATGCAGGGCCCCTGGGGTGCCGAAAAGAAGGGTGATGTCCTCTGGGTGATTGTTTAAAAGAACATGCTGCCACTATAATAACCAGCCCCAAACAGGTATAGGGCTTCAGTCATCTGCCCACCATGGGGGCGGGGGCGGGGGCGGGGGAGGGGGTGGAGGTGGGGATCACTGACCCAAGTAGCTATTTCCAGATATTCCCAGACATCTAATTGTTGGCATTTTGAAGACTGACTATCCAGGATTTCTGGTCAGCAGTGTGTGTCCTAGAACGGACACGTAGGAACACGGAGAACGCGTGCTTGGGCAGCACACACGCTGACATTGGAACCGTGCCGAGAAGGTAGCATGGCCCCTGCGGAGGGACGGCATGCGACTTTGTGAAGCGGACCACATTTCTATGCAAGCTGTAATCAAAAAATAAAATTTTAAATAGGAAAAAAGAGCACGGAGAATTACAAAGCTGGCTTTTATACTGGGCTCAGAGCAGGGGCGGGAAAGGCTGCCTGGGGTTATGGCTGAATCTGAAATTCTTGCCTGGAAATCCTCCCCTCCTTCCCCAGGCCCCCAGGCCTCCCGAGGACCCCGGGGTGTGCACGGCGATGACACTGGCTTCCTGGTGTTGTGCGGTGTCATCGGAGAGAACCTCGCCAAGGGACACCCTGGTGCTCAGCTGTTCTAAGGTGGGATGGTGTCGGAGGGGGGATGCTGGCCCATCTCAGGTCAAAAGAACACGAAGGAAAGAGAGGGCAAGACAGGCAGGAGGTTGGAAGCCAGTGACATCCCAACAGCCTCTAATTTGGAGATTTAATTCCCGGTGTTTAGGAAGGCACAGGAAAGCTGAGCATCTGGGGCCAGCTTCAGACCTTAAATCCTCCTTTCCCACAGGAAAGACCCAACTTCGCCCTCTGTGATGAGGCTCACCACTTCCCTGGGCTTGTAGTGAAATCAGGGCAGGATCTGAGGCGGCAGGTGGCACTTGCCTTGGGCACAATAGAGTTGGGATGCTCCCAAACTCAGTCAGTAATCAAGATACATAGACTTCTGATGCGATACTTTAAAAATCAGAATCAAAGCCAGGGAAGTCCACAATGAACAAAATACCAAATTTTCAAATAAACACAGGATGGGTTGGTTGACCAGGAATTAAAATTTCACCTGCATGCCTCTACTTTCCTGCCTGCTCAACATATTCTGTTTTGAAAAGGATCACAGTGGGAACTATGGCTTATTAAAAAAAAAAAAACCTCTAACTCCAACCATGTGATTTATATCAGAAACAAACCCACGATTATTTTTTTCTGAAATAACTGAACCAAATTTTAAGAATATTAAGAATATTTTATGATCTGAATAGGTATTATGCCTGAGTCATTCATTGATGGAAATGCCCATCTGAGTTATTTGATACCAGGAATGATTAAAAACAATCAAATCCTAATCCCTAATGCAAACACTTTTGGGTTTTCTACATCCAGCCTCTAAAATTCATGCAGCCAGCTCAAGATGCTCACGTCCTGTGTCCCAAAGGACCCTCCCTGTGTCTTGCACTCATTTCTCAGGTCTGCGGAATCCAGAAAAAACCCGCTTTCTGATCAGAAGGGAGATGAAAAGCATATCTTAACAGGGCATTTCAAAAGCATGCCTTGCTCATCACAGAAGCATCCAAAGTACCTACATTATTTAGAAAATGGCAGGAGAGGGAATAATGAATGCAGAATTGGCTTTTTAAAAAAATGTAACTGAGGAGGGAGAAAGCTTCACAAAAGGTCTAGACAAAATCTTCATTGTTTGCAAAGTCAAGGCGGTAAAGAGATGATTAAGCGAAAACAAACCTGAGGTTTAACCTTAAAGGAAGTGAGCATTTTAATTTTTTGCAAAGGCGGAGAAAATGCCATAAGAGGGTGTCTGAAGGTTAAGGAAGCTGCTATGAAAATGAGAGTCACGTGCTCTGAGCTGTTCACAGCTCTGTCTCCGGAGTGTGAAATTAGCGACCAAAGGCAGATTTCACAGGCACTTCGGGGAGCGTGCTGGTGCCTCCACGGGCGGGTCGGCCAAGGGGCCTCTCTGCCAAGTCCTGCCCACTTGCAAGCTGCTGTCTTTATTCATGCAAAGCACAGACAATCCTGCGTGTCTGGAGCGTTTTGCATTTATATTGAATGCAGCCTCTCTCCTTCCTTTGGAGTGAGTCTAGTGCTGAGTGCAGGCGGAGTGTACGGGTGGGGGCTGCAGTGTTGGGGGTGGGGGTTGGGGGAGGGGAGATGGATCAGACAGACCAACATTCCCTCCAGAATCCATTTTCTTTCTTTCTTTTAAGTATATTTTTATTGATTTTTCACAGAGAGGAAGAGAGAGGGATAGAGAGTTAGAAATATCAATGAGAGAGAATCATCACTCAGCTGCCTCCTGCACACCCCTTATTGGGGATATGTGCCCGCAACCCAAGGTACATGCCCTTGATCGGAATGGAACCCGGACTTTCAGTCCACAGGCCGACGTTCTGTCCACTGAGCCAAACTGGTCTCGGCCTATTTTTTCTTTTTAAGAAAAAAAAACAAAAACAAAAAACAAACAAAAAAAACCCCAAAACAACACCCATCCATCTGGATTACATTCAGTGGAAAGGCTGGAAAAATGTTTAGAAAATAGGGAGATGGTTAAAAAAAGTTAAATCTTAAAACATCTCCAAGGGCAACAAGGAGTTTTCTGAGTCCGGGTTACCGTCTGAAACAGTGGACAACGTCCACCTTCCCTGTCACACTGTGATTCTGGGGAGGTGGGTTGCAGAAATGTCACGGAAGAGAGAAAACTCAGGAAAATGGTGACTTGAGAGAGGCGGTTCTATTACTGATTCTGTCCCCGTCTGTCCTGGTCTCACTCATGTCATTTCACACAAGCACCAAGCAAAAGCGTAATTATTACTTCCCACACCTTGACCTTGTCCTAGTCATGTGGGCAGACCTGAGCTCAGCCCCAGGCAAAGGCTTCCTTGTCAACTCCGCTAACAGGCCCCAGAACGCAGCCAACCAACAGCTGGAGGAAACCACTGTATCTCGAAAATCTGGAGTCACTGGAGCATCTTACAAACCACTTCCCTTTCAAGTGGAACATTTTCCCTTTTATAGCCTCTTTGGTGACGGTAGGTGTTTGGCACCCCCCAAAACACGGTTTGAACTTGGAACACCCTTGTGGAAAATTTGAGATAAAATAAGAATTGGCCCACAGCTCTCCAACACACACTGCAAATAAACAGTGGATTCGGAAACTCATACTCAGATTGGCTTAACCAGTTACAAAATATGTTGGTCCCCTCAGTCAAAAGGGGAGTCAGCGATCTGAAGATGTCTTCAGGAGTCGAATGCCTTTCATGTATGCCCTGGGTTTTGGGTTGGTCAGCCCCAGGCCGGAGACCCTCTGGTGTTGGAGGTCACGTGTGTTCAGAAGAAGAAATCAGGTCCTCGAAAGCTGTAGCAGTTTCTCAGAGACTGCTCTGGCTGAGCTGGGTGGGGCGGGACACCTACAGTCCCGTGGGAGGTGGAGGGAAATAGGACATTCCTGAGAAGTGATGATGATGGGTCACGGACACTGGAGGGCAGTCACCCATGCCCACTACTGTCTGGGAAACATCCCTGTTTCCTCTCTCCTGCCCTCACCGAAGAAAAACTGTTCTTCCCACTGAGTGCTAAACCCTCCATATGTGAAGGCAGCAGGCCAGCTACCAGAGTCTAGAGCTGACAAAAACCAGGCCATGGAGCCCACGGAACTCGTGTATGTCAGTGGCAGGAGCATGAAATAGTACAACCACTTAGAGAAACTCTTGGGCAGTTTTACAGAATTGATGTGCCTCCGTCCTCTTGTTATCAGAGAAAAGTGTGGGTGGTCTGTCTCCATTGCTAGTGGGGTTCTTGGGGTATCCCTGGAATAAGCATTTCTGGAGGCCCCCACCGAAGAGGATGAGATAGGGTAGGAAGCTTTATTTTTGTGGAATCACCGCCCGTGGGTTTCCAAAGTCCCGTTTCTCTTAGTCCGGTCATAGAAGAAGTGTAGCTGGGGTTTCAGGGAAGCTAGAGGCAGGGCTAGTGTCCAGGATTGCCTTTCCAGGTTGGAGTCAGGTCCAGTTTGGTATCAGGCTCGTCGCAGCCCTTTAGTGCACTGAGTGTGTGGTGTGCATGGCCTGGGGCCACGTGGGCAAACGCAAGGGGAACCCCACAATCCAGAGTCACACAAGTCCCAAGAGCCCCAAGATCAGTAAGAGCACAAGAGCAGCAGGAGAGCCAGTTTCTTTGTTCACGGAATGAAGAATCCCAAATATCTCATACTATACACGTTGTGAGTCACTATACATGCATATGCACACACACACACACACACACACACACACACACACACACAAGTGACAAACCTAAGGAGACTTAACCCATTTTCTCCTGGGTCTACCTTGTGGCCCAGTGGTGCAATAGGTGACTGACCACTATCTCTCTCCGGTCCACAACTGTTCTGCTTTTGTGGGGTCCTTGAGGTCACACTTTATTCTTAGCCACTTTTATTTAACCCAAATCCTCAACTTTTGAACTCATGGACAAGGAAAATCACCACTTCAGAAATGACCTCCCACCACCGTTTGACGTGTATGCGAAAGGGAATTACATCCTGTGTAATTCCGATCTTCTCAGCCAAGGTTGTTTCTTTGGTGTCGTGGGGTATTTTTAAGCATCAAAAGGGAAAAAGGAGAAAATCCAAAGAGACCACCCCCAAGTCTGAAATCCTGTTAAACCTCAAACAAAACCAAACTCGCTGGGGCTTGACAGGAATAAGCTCAGAAAGAGAAAAGACGCCGGTCCTAGGGATGAGATGCTGTGGATCCCTTTGTAAGCTGCGTTCCTTCCATCTGGACAGCAGGCATAGGGAAGGTTTCCTGGTTTCCAGATCTTCTGGTTGGGCCACTTGGAGTGGAAGGGACTATCCTTTGATGTTTGGGTTTCGTGCTCATTTTCATAGCCCTGCTCCTATTCAGGGGCAGAAATCATCACCAAAGGCATTCGGCAGACACAGAAAGGGGCATGTTAGTGCTCTGCTGCCACCGTTAGCATCCTGACAAATTAGGTCGTGCCAACAGCGCGGGAAGTTGTGTGGGGAGGTGAGATCTCCTTTCTATAACCTGTGCACCTTAGTCAGTGTAGAACATATTTCCAATACAGAGAAGAGTGCCTGTCTAAAGCACTTTTTCTGAATGGCTTCACTATACCAGAACAGTAATAATTATTGTCAAACACTCAAATACTGAAAATCACCTGAAGTGAAATTTGAGTGCATGGGTGTATGACTAATGCGTTAGTTAGTTCCCATATGTATGTGTGGGCACCTCTCTGCTCCTCGCACACCTCTCAGCCTCCTTCACTC